GTGAAAGCCATGCCTCAAATTCATTTCGAAACCATTACATGAATCCAACCGAAATAGAACTGGCTCTTGGTTTTATGCAGGGGCTATAAAAGACATCCACAGGTTCCATATTATTCTTCATAAGTAAAAGAGGCCTTACCATTTCCTGTCTGATGAGGCTGTGCGTCCTTATGGGAAATCAGGAACATCATGAACTATAGAATCTAGCCGTAAATGTTTTGGCAGAAACTATGCAAACTAAAGTGTTTCAGGAATAATTACCACCTCGAATCCTGCTTCACTCAATGCCTTCACCAGTGGCAACTGGGGACACACAGAAGTGCGTTGCAGAGAGCTCTAATTCAACTTTGGTTTCTGGTGGAGTGAAAAGAGCACTCTCAGTAATCTTATTTTCCCAGCAGTGAGGTCAGCCTCTACCCTGTGCATGATGAGTGATGAGTGTCTCTTTGTCCTTTTGCTTGTTTGTTTTGTGCTTCAAAGGCCCAGATGCCCCTCAAATGAAACAACTCATTTGCTACATTATATTCTTGGGTCTAACTTGACTACTAATTCAATCTAATGCCTGGATTGGGTTTGGGATGCTATTTGGTGCCATTGAACTTCAAATAATATTTTCCTTAATCTCTGAGATAGTCAAGTAACAGGGTATGTTTTTTAAATAACCACTACATAAGTTGTAGGTTAGATCTGTGAGAGCCAAAGCTCTGAAATGCCACAAATAAATGTCACATTTATCTTTGGAGGGGAAGGGAAGGAGAGAGGGAGAGAAATATCAATGTGTGGTTGCATCTGGTGTGTCCCTCACTGGGAACTGGCCTGCAACCCAGGCATGTGCCCTGACTGGGAACTGAACTGCGATCCTCTGGTTCACAGGCCCACGCTCAGTCCACTGAGCCACACCAGCCAGCGCGGTAACAAGTACTTTTTAACTGCAATTCTGAATGAGCAAGTATTGAGTTACGTGGTCCATTTGTGTGCAGGTTACTCTGCAGTCGAGAGAAAACTGAGTGTCCAGAAAGTGAGGACTGCAATGGAGAACAAGATCAGTGTCCATATTTTAAATAGTATGAGTTGGCTTAGCCACCCCCTCTAACTTTTCTAAACTCGCTTGCTCATTTCAACGATGTTTCACACAGGCATGGTGACCAATTTTTTTCTAACTGTACCCTTTCCCGTTCATATTACACTGTATTGATATGAATCATTTCTAAAGAAATATTTCCAGAGAAAATACTTTATTTTCAGAGAGAGGGAAAGGGAAGGAGAAAGAGGGAGAGAAACATCAATGTGTGGTTGCCTCTCATGTGTCTCCCACTGGGACCTGGCCTGCAACCCAGGCATATGCCCTGACTGGGAATTGAACCACAATCCTTTCCTTCACAGGCCTGCGCTCAATCCACTGAGCTACACCAGCCAGAGCTGTTCTGGAAATATTTTTGAAGGGTCTTGACTGATTTCCGGACACCATTGAACAGCTTATTTTCCAGGAGGAAATTCCACTCCAAGGACCTCTCCTGAGACAAACTGATGTTTCTGTGCTTACTAAATTTATTCAGTGCTTCTTCCAACATGTAGTCACTTCACAGTGTTAGTAAAACCAAAAATACGTTTACTCTTTTTATCATTTAAGTTCCCAACTTTGGAGAAGACTCTTGAGATAATTTGCCATATGTCAGATTATTCATAGACCTCTGAAATGACAATGATGAGAAGAATATATTTTCTATTTTGATGATATTCATTTTCCAAGAACATACAGCCTGGGGCAGAGCTCGGTTTACAGCTGGGAATATGCAAAACAGTTTATTCTTATATTGTTTATTAATTATTGTATTATCTCCCACATGAACAACTGTAAACCTATTTTTGCTCCACTCTGTGAGAAGATACTAGAATAATCACCCAGTTGACACTTACTTGAATGGGTACTGGTGTGAAGGTGGTGCCTTCAACTTATTCTGATCTCTTTACTCAATGACTTGCCGCCCCCTCCCAACTCTGAAGTCAAAGGTATTGTCCGCCCAGCACAATGTCCAGTTCAATAACAGGAAAATTCCAACCAGTATTGAAGATGCAAACGAACGATGAATATATTGCCAATAAAGCAGTCACTCATTCCCAAATGTCAGGTCTTCTTAAAAATCAATTTGCCCATCCTTTTTCCCCACCATGTTTTCATTTCTTCTCCGTGTGCCGATGGCTGTCTTGGACTTCCTGTCTCTTCTCAAGCTTTGACCAACTTTATACCCACCTAAGGAAACACATCTCAGGTCGTCACAGGCTGTCTTTGATTTTTTCGCAGATACAGCGTAACGCACATAGAAGGAATTCGTGCTCTGGAACAGGAGAGCCCAGGCTCACCATAGCTAACACACACCTGGTAGAACTATTATTCTGAGTCCACTGATTGGCTTAGCAGTTTTACAGGACCTCGAGGGCTGACCAGGTCAAACAGGTTTAGTCAGTAGTTCCTCCCTTCTCACTGTTAGTTCGAGTTATCCCTGAAGTAAAAAAAGAAGCTTCTGAACTTTCATATCTAAGGATGGAAATGGTGAATTGGATAGGGAGAAGGTAGCATTGGAATCTAAGAAAGATGGGAGCCTGCCAACGATTAAAGTCCTATTTCCTTCAGTATATTGTGAACCCGAAGTCCGCATCCAATGAACACAAACTGAAGCAAAGGTATCAACAGTACCCGGAACGTGGCATCATTTGAAACCCAGGCACGGAAAACAGCACGGAGTCAGGCTCTCTTGTGCAGTGGTACCTCATGGGTTGTATATCAACGTGTCGACCCAGGTTTTGTTCTGGTTTTACTCATCAAAATAGAGGTCACAAAGGGGTCAAAATGCTTTTTGGAGAGGGGAAAAAAAAACCCTTCAGGTGTGTCATGTTCTGTTACAAAACAAAAAGGCAGTTTGGCCCAATTCCTTTTGCTTAGGACGGTAAGAGGTCAACGCATTTCAGGTGGGCTTGAGATACCAATTGAATGCCATCCATTGTGATACCGAAACTGTAACACTTTCAACTGTTTCCTTTTTTTAGTCTTCTGTTTAAAAACTTTAGTGCCCCATCCGTGGAGGTTACGGCAATGCTTAAAAACAAACATAAATGACTGACTTTGGAAAAGCTGTGCTTTCTCGCAGTGTATTTCCTCGCCAGCATCGGTTTCTCTGAGGCCCAACAGTTGACAGCACCCGCGTGCTTTTGAAAGTGTTCATCGACTTTTGACAATCTGTGGGAATTCTACTTTTTAAAAAAGGAGGCATGTGATAACCCACAGGACTGTCTTTACTGGAAGGCTTCACAACAGGCGAGTTCTCTAGCAAGAGGATGCGGCGTTTCCTCTCAGTCAGCTGCGCTTCTTCGTTTTCCAGACTGTACCCAATCTGCAGTTCTTTCTAGGACAAAACGTCCCTTTAAATCCAGAAGAAACAGCTCTAATAAGGAGTGCTGAGTCAGGTCCATTCCCGCCGTGCTAATCACGCAGTGAGCGCACGGGACTGTTTCCAGGGGCGCTTTCTGAGACCTAAGCAGAACGCCCACCTCAGAGTCTCGCCCAGGAGGACGCAAGCATCTATAAAAAATTTTTATTCATCTTGAGAGACAAATGCTTATTCATTGCATAATGCTGCAAAAGACATGGTGACTCCTACTTCACGCTCCCTAAACAGCGTTAGATAGTTGAGCGGCCAATAATTCCCACCTGTGTCAGTAAAGTCAGGGAACGGATTGGGTCTGCGGAGAGAAAAGAATCCAAGTTCTTTAGGCAGCCTGAGTGGAAGGAAACCGTACGGAGGCTGGAGGGTAGACAGGTGTGAGCTGGGGAGAAGAGCGTGAGATTTATTAGGGAAAATAGGTAAACGGGCATAGGAAATCTGGGTGTCTCTACCTATTGGTGATCCTTGGTACTTGTGATGCGTTACAGACCCCGGAGCGGTGATCCGTACGCCTGCTTGTTTACGCCACTTTTGTGTTCGTGCGTGTTTACCTGAGTGTAGTTTTCCTGGCAGCAGCGGCGTGTGGGGTGTCCGTGCGCACGAGTATGAATTAATTACATCTCGAAAACATCTGCATTAAGGGCGTCCGCAGTCCCCGCTGCCCCGGTCTCGAGGCTGCGCTCCGTCACTCGGTGTGAGGACCAGTCGGCAGACCTGCCAGTCGGACGCCTGATGGTGGATCTCGGGGGGCCGGAGCTCGGGGAGCCTGTACCATCTCTGTGTGAAGGGGAGGAGAGAAGGCAAAGGGAAGGCGCCGGAGCGAAGGGATTCTGCTTCCCGGGGCTCGGCGGGGTGCCCAGACTGCCCAGCTAATTCCCAACTTCAGCACCGCCCCCCGCCCGGGGAGGGGCGCGCGCCTCCTACCTGGGCCCCCGCCTCGGCCGAGGGCTCCGGGCGGCGGGTGCCCGCTCCCGTGCGCTGGCGAGGGCTGGGCTGTTGGGCTCTGCCAGCGGGAGGGTGCGGGGCGGGGGGGGGGGGACGCTAAGGAGGGCGAAGAGCTGGAGGAGGAGGAGCCGGGGAGGAGACTGGAGCCGGGGGGAGGAGGGAGGGCTCCCCGCCTCGCCAGCCGCCGGGTTTGCTGGCGCTGCTGGCGGCGGCACCTCCTGCGCTCCACCCGCCGCCGCTCCGCGGGGAGATGCTGCCCCGCGCCGCGCTGCGCTGAGGCCGTGCGTGCGCCGCGCCGCCGGCTGCGTCCCCGGCCCGGTCTCCCCAAGTGAGCCGAGCCGACTGGCGGCTGCCACCCGCTCGGAGTCCCGCTGCCCAGTGGCGAGGGGCGCGCTTGCTCGCAGTGCCACCAGCAGCAGCCCCTCCATCCCCGGCGCGCGACCCTTATTTTGTTTTTTTTTTGTGTGTGTGTGGGATTTTTTCCTGCACCCTGCACTCTTCGGATTTGCCTCCGCGTCCTTTGGTCATTTCACCCCTCCTCAGAGGCGGAGGGCGGGGTAGCTGTCCCCTCCCAGGCCCCCCTCCCTTTCTTGCTCCGAGTGAATTTCTTCCCCGTGGCACTGCTCGGGCGCGCCGCGCAAAGGCCAGCCCGGCGCGCGGGAGGAGGAAGCCGCGACTCCCCGCTGCTCCGGAGCCCGGCTGGACTGGAGCCTGGGGCGGCGGAGGGGCCGAGAGGCGGAGGCAGCGGGAGGGGCTGGGCGTGCTCCGGAGTCCGAGGACAGCCCGCCTCCCTGGGAGAACCCGCGGCAGAGGCGGACGGCGCCCTTCCGCAGCGAGCTTTCGGAGTACCGCCAGCCGGGAGGCGAAGGATGCCGGCGGCGCGGCCAGCCGGCTGCGGGGCAGCGCTGTGGCTGTGGTTCGTCGGCTGCGTCCTCTGCAGAGCCTGGACCGCCCCCTCCGCGTCCCGTAAGTAGCCTCTCGCGGGCTCGCGCCGCGTCCCTGCCGCATTGGTGTGCCACCCGGGTCGGCCCCCACTCCGAGGTGCCTTCGCAGTGCCGGTCCCCCCGGTCTGTGTGCCCGTCTCCGCTGTCACGCACTCGCAGCCGGCCACTGCAGCAGGCAAACTCCAAACCCCGCGCTCCTGGGCGAGGGCAGAGCGTTTTGACGCTGGTGATGTTTCTGGAAAGTTGTGCCTGGTCGTGGAGATAGAGGGGTTGGCAACTGTTCGGTTAGAGTGATTTGTGAAGGTGACAGCTTCTTGGGAGTTATTCCTCCACTTCGGGTGTGCGTATGTGCGTGTGTGTGCGCGCGCGTGTAAAGGGAGTTCATGGCATTTTGCTCAGATACGTCAGTGACTGAAAAGTAAAGACTACGGAAGAAATAAGTTTCTTATTTTTATATACGGTTTCAACTTAAATGAGCGTGTATTTTGGGGTGAAAATAGCGTATTTTAAGCGGTCTGGACACCTATGGACTTGTCTCGAGACCTCCCCCAACAAGTTAATGACCCTTTAGTGTTTGCTTCTTGGAATGGAGACAGGGGATCCAAAATTCTCAGTGAAATGGCTTAAATTCTTTGGCCCTTTGCAATACTGCAGCTTAGGACCTGGGACACTCAGTGCAATGGACAGATTTCTTAGGAGTCCAGGAAAAATGATGCTGTTCCATACGTTTATCTCCGTGTGTTTTATCTCGCTTAAAAAAAATCAGCATGTTTTCATGAGGTTAGAAAGACCTGGAAGGTTCTCGTCCCTGTTCTGCGTTTGCTTTGGAAGTGCGGACTGGGATCGGTAGAGGCAGTGGATGTGGGCTTCTTGGTTGGGAAAGGGTTACACTTCTGAGGTTGGAGCAATCATAGAATATCGTTCATGGGCACCGACTTGTTTGTGAGAATGACTAAGGTGTTAAACAATAATCATGAAGACGTTAAAGTCTTAAAGTACGTGTTTTCCACTTAGAAAAAAAATTCAGTGTTTTCCAGAATTCATCTTACAGGAAGTAGCCCTTTCTGTTTACAAGATTCTGGGATGCGCTCATGCGCCTGTGTCTATATGTTTAATATTAATGTTCGCATTCCAGTGCGTACCTATTAATAGGAATAAGTATTGAAAATGACTTTCTAAGGTGTGCTGAGGGGCTGCGTCATAATCTATGAGGAGCCAGTATTGTTTATGAGATGTTTTCCCAAGCACAGTATTGTCTTTGCTTTCCTTGAGATTAAAGATAAGGAAGCTACTAAATGGCAATCTAAGTTTGTAAGGAACTGGCAAAACATTTTATAGTTCCCCCCCCCAAAAAAAAACAGATTAAACCTAAACAGTGACGTGGCGTTAAGATTTTCATGTCAACGTATATAGATTTACACAGAAATTGTGAAGCTATAATGCTTGGCACATTAATATTTACATAAATATCGAACTGCAGCCCGAGAAATTAATGTTGCCGAAGTTTCCGTCCCCCTTTCTGGTGCTGTAGATTCTAACTGCCACTTTCCTAGGAAAATAAATTTTTAATAGAAGTTTATTGCAGTCGCTGATGGAAGGCGCTCATCTCCAGGGTTTTTCCTGGGTGGTGTATTTCGTCTTTCTGTGCATTTTAATAACAGCGGGTCAGTCCAGGACATTGGCCCCGCATAAGGCCTAGTGTGCACGCCGCCTTGGGTTCATACGGTTGAAGAATAGAAAAGTTGTTATGTCAGAAACACATTCTTAGTTTTTTCAACTTAGAAATTGGAGACGGGGAAGAGCAGAGGCTATTACTTTTAAGATAGTTAACAGTTATGTTTGGTTATGAAAATGTATTTATTTAGCTTTTATTGTTAATTGTCTAAAAATGTCTAATGGCCTAATGAAGATAACTTTTCACTTCATTCGAATTTAAATTGTCTCATCAAAACCAAAGTTTCCCCAAATCCTGGAAATGAATTAAATGGTAAGGATGACATAGACTTAAATGATTAGAATGGACTTCAAGTGTTTAGCGCTTTAATGTTCTATTTTATACTTTATGATACATTTTATTTGTATTATATATGGCTGAAGAAGAACGATAACTATATAGTCTTAATACCAAAAACATTCAAAGGAGAAAAATGTGAGATAATGAACAACTCAGCCAGGAGAGGTCATCCCAAGACAAAAAGTAGTGTGGAAATCTCAAAGTAGCATTTTTATTTGGTACACTTTTCAAAATAGGATGACTCTGCTAAATCTTTCTGTCCCCGAATAACTTTTTAATACGATGGACATTTTTAGGAGCTACAGTTAATATATATATATTTTTCTTTTCAGTACCATTTCAAACATATACTTGCTTCTGCCTTATTTCTTCTTCTCTGTTATTGAAATGTATATAAAATGGTATTGTGGTTAATACTGTGGTTTTTTGCAACTAGCCTGAAATAACTTTAAACAATCTCATCTCTAGGATTAAGTGGAAATAGAGTCTAGTTTCCTGACAGATACAGTGAAGAGGACTCTGCTCCTTCTCTGCCGAGCTGACGGCCTCACAAGCATGTAAACCTCCCCTGTTGCAAATGTCAGGGCCTAGGATTGTATATGAAAAGTTTACATAGAATATTTTCTCATAGGGAGTTGCATTTATTTGAATATATTTGAAAGAACCTGACAGTGCAGTTCTTAATGATGAGGAGTTTGAGTCAGCCTTCAGTGAATTTAATTTATTCTTAAAGTGTACTCAAATTTGGCTTAAATAGTGCTTTCTGATTAAGGTCATTTTACGTTATATTGTATACCCATCAAAGTATAATTTCAACTTTCTAACAGATGACTTTACTTATTCAAGCATATATAAACACCTATATTAATATATACACAAATATATTAGGTAAAATACTTGAAATGCATATAATATATATTATTTAATATTGGATTATATTACATATTTATATATTTTGTAACATGGCCTTCAAGGAGTCTAACTTGCCTACAAGTTTATAGATAGATCTTTTCAGGAGCAATTATTTCAAGTAACAAAACAATATCAAAATAATAATATATTGGTCTATTTTCTCTCTCCTTGATTGACATACCATGCTACCAAGGGTATCTTTCAAAAAGATGAATTAAGTATAAAATATACTTAATTTATATAAATTTACTTATACTTAATTTAAATATACTTAATTTATATATAAAATATATAATAAATATAAAACCAAAAATGCTGTTGGTTTTCATCAAGCTTAAACATAGTCTTAATAAAATGAATGTAAATTATTTCATTTGCATTTAAATTGTGATAAATTAACAAAATAATATTGTCTTAATAAAATGAATTTAAATTAAAAGGTGCATTGGGCCAGCAAAATTCATTGGTTGATAAGAGGTAGTACGTTATTTACTTAATATAAACTGATAATGAGGAAATTGTTATTACTTATTAGAGAGAAATATGTAATCCTGATTTTATTTTCAATAATAATATTCAGGAAACAGGAACCTTAGTCCAAATTTTATTCCTTTAACATCGATCTATGATAAAATTGAGTAAAAAATATTTCACAAATTCAAAATAGGTTTTTATTAACCTTAATACCATTTTAAAAGATTAATATATCATCTTCAGATGACAAGTAACATCAAAGTTGTCTGGTGCACATCACATTGTAGAAAATCACATTTCCAGTTTATGTTTTCTATTTTGATTGGCAGGGTGTTTGAAGTTCCGTAACTTCTCTGAGACTTGAAATCCCTTGTTTTAATTAGTGGGTTCTTCCAGAGAACATCTTAATAAGTCTTTAAAGGGAGAACTAGTAAGTCTTCTTGTGTGATGTATCCTTTTTATGATTGAACATAAAAGGAATTTGCTGGAGTCTCCCCCTTGTCTCTCTTCTCTTTTTGAAATAGACAGTAATTTGCCGTAAATGCTGTTCAGAGTAAAGAGAGATTCTAGGCTCAGAAATTCTTTCTTTTTTTTTTATTTTTTGGGCTCAGAAATTCTTAATTCATCTAGTGTGTGATTTTCTTAAAAATTGCGAACATATGGAGAACCAACTTTTTCATGTTGTCTGCTCAGTGATTGATGTTAATAGGTTGAAGACATAAAACATGTAATTTCAAAAATGTGCCAAATTTAATCAATTAGAGATGTGCTTCGTCATGTATTGTAACTTGTGAAGTTCAACAACAGAGTACATAATAATTTCAACATTAAAACTGCCATGTTGTAGAGATTAGAAATAGCGAACACTATATTAACATTTAAATAGTTGACATTGAATGCTTTCAGTGTCTCTAGAGAAATGCGTATTTTAAGTAATTACTAGAGACATAATGTATATTTCTATAATCGTTTGATGGTTGGCCTCTGGAGGAAATGACGTGTCTGATTGTGCCATTTGAACCCGTAAGTGTAGGGATGGAATGATCTTCATGCAGCCTTTAACTTTTCAACTGAGAAATGCAAAAGAGACCACTTCTCAACAGTGATCCGCCAGAACGTCGGGTCCTTCCATCTCCTGTGAACTGTAGATCCTGCAGAAAGATACCTAACAGTAGGCTATGTCTCTGAAAGAGTTTATGGGATAGTTCTCGGAATCTTCCAGACAGCCTGGCTCTGGCTAGAAAGTCTGATTAATTTCAGCATTCAAGGTAATGCCTCCAATTGTTGCTGTCTATTTAATCCGCATTCCTCTGTATCAGTGATTATTATGTAAGGGGTCATATTTGTTCTCCACTGGTGACTTCTTTTGTAGTCTAGAACTCAGGTAGAGAAGAGAGGGCTAGTTATTATACCCTGTAAATCCCAGAGATACTAAAATTGCCAACAGTACGCTTAGTTACTGCTGAACTAAACGGACATGGGAACATTTTAGCATGTTTTAAAAACAAGCATTGTACAAGCTGTTTTTTTTTTACTCTGATGTTTAGTCGGGAAATTGAAATTAGTTATCACCTGTAAATCCTCTCATTCATTCATTCATTTATTCATATTTCTGCATGGCC